TATTTTATCTCTGTATTTACTAAAGAGGAACTTAACATTGAGTCTATGTGGGTGGGGAAGAGGATAGGTTGACTAGTTTAGCAGTTACCAGGGAGGATGTTATTAAACAAATAGTGAAACCGCAGCCAAACAAATCCCCTGGGACAGTTGAAGTGTTTGCCAGGGTGCTTATGGAATGCAAAGAGGAGCATTGCGAGCCATTATCTACCATATTTAACAGATCATTAGAGTCAGGCAGAGTGCCAGAGTTGTGGAAGGTTGCTAATGTGGTACCAATTTTTAAGAAAGGAGATAGATCACTTGCGTCAAACTATTGACCAATTAGCCTAATGTCTATTGTGGGAAAGTTACTTGAATCGATAATTGCAAATGCCATTCGTCCTCATCTTGAAAAACATAAATCAATAAATGATTCACAACATGGATTTACATATGGCTGTTCATGTTTAACAAACTTGCTATCATTTTATAGCATAGTTGAGGCAGTTAATAGTGGTAAGGTTTGTGATGTTGTGTACCTTGACTTTAGCAGAGCTTTTGATACAGTGTCACATGGGCTAGGTAATGATGATAGAGTTACAAGACACGAGCTTGATGGTGTTGAGATTGCGTAGTCAGATTGTGAAAGGGATCTAGGAGTTATGATTAGTAAGAATTTAAAACCAAAGGATCAATGCACGAATGTGCATTGATCCTTTGGTGCGTAATAAGGCAAATAGGACACTGGGATTTATTAATCAAAGCGTTAATAACAAGACACCTGGTGTTGTTCTTCATTAACCCTTAAAGTGCGCATCACGTCATATGACGTGTTGGAAGTTGTTCCAGTCAACTGCGCATCACGTCATATGACGTGTTGGAGTACTACGCAAGATTTAAACGGCCCGCGGATACACGGGGTTCACCACACCTTCATCAGGGCTCTTGTAAACAGACGCCATTTTTTAAAAAAAAATCGTGGGCCAAACTCCCGGGTGTTATTGGCCTCAGTATTGAGTGAGCTACCAAGCCTGACGCACGCAGCATGAGCTAACAGCACTGCTGTTCAGCTTGTGACCACAGCATCGCCTAAAAATGCCATAATATACTTGTTCATGCTATTATGTAGCGATGATATTATTACAGAAGACCCCTGACTGATAAAACTGACCAGGGTTCTGATAATAGCAGGATTGTGGTGATATTTAGCGCTGTGCGCCATGGAGGGAGGAGTAATGCTGTGGGAGGGAGGGTGGTGGCGATGTCTTCTGACTGTGTGTGGCCACCTTTTATTGACTGCACTCACCATACCAGCTTAGTGGTTCGCTATGGTGAACACAAATGTAGATACTTATATATAACGTGTGTGTAGAGGGTATAAACAGCAAGAGGAGAAGGTTGGGAGCCGCCATTTTGGTGAGGAATGTGGCGTCGTCTGCACGACGCCACCGTGCAGACGACGGTGTTGTTTACTGGTTACCACGATGGTCTTTGGGCACCATACCAGTTTACTTGTACAAGTATGGTGAATAAAACAGGTAGATATTTATATATAATGTGTGTATATAGCATAATAACACCACAAACAGTATTGTTGGAGGAGAAATATTAGTGCGTCTGGCCTTGAGGGCGGCAGCCATCAGCTGACTGTGTGAGGTCCTACGTCTTTGTGCCTTTACTCACCATACAAGCTTAGATGTACAGTTATGGTGAACAAAACATGTAAATACTTATATATAACGTCTGTATATAAAAGCAAAAACAGTATGGTGGGTGGAGAATGGTGGCAAGTCAGGTGAGGTGAGGGAGGGAGGGAGTGGCAGCCAGTGGCGGGCTGCCACTGCCTGTCACTGCCACTGCCACTCAGCATACCAACTTAGTGGCTCGTTATGGTGAACACGAATGTAGATACTTATATATAGCGTCTGTATATAGTGAATAAAAGCAAAAACAGTATTGTGGGAGGAGAATGTGGGTGAGTCAGGTGACTTGAGGGAGGGAGGAAGTAGCAACCAGTGGCGGGCTGCCACTGGCACTGCCACTCAGCATGCCAACTTAGTGGTTCGTTATGGTGAACACGAATGTAGATACTTATATATAACGTCTGTATATAGTGAATAAAAGCAAAAACAGTATTGTGGGAGGAGAATGTGGGTGAGTCAGATGACTTGAGGGAGGGCGTGAGTGGCTGGCTGGTACACGGCGGTCACTCCTCGTTACTTTTTGACTCATAATAGCTACTTAGTGGTTCGTTATGGTGAACAAAACATGCAGATACTTATATATAACCTGTGCTTATAGTGTAATAACCGACAAAGTATTTGTTCACTGATTGATGAACATAATTGAATCAACAATATGCACACCATATTTTTGAGTACAGCGATGATTCACTCATTTTATTATATAAATATATCAAACTACACACTATTGAATAATATTACAGCAAAAAACTATGAAAAATCAATCAGAGACATTGAAATAATTAGGTAATTATCTCTTTGTGGCAACTCCGGCCTGACAGCTGGCGATCAACAGACCGCCTGGGACGCACGCTGAGTCAGCGCCTATTTTTTGCCAGACTTCCCCGCCCTATAGCGGGCAATATATGCCACTTACGATTTTTTTATTATTTTTCCCGTGATCAGTGAACACAAATTAACAGGTTAGGAAGAAAAATTTTTTTTTTTTTTTCAAAATTACATGCGCCTGTGGGGAAGAAAGGATATTATACCCCTAGCATGTTAAAGGTTAACCCTTAACATTTTCATACTTTTTTTGCTGTAATATTATTCAATAGTGTGTAGTTTGATATATTTATATAATAAAATGAGTGAATCGTTGGTGTACTCAAAAATATGGTGTGCATATTGTTGATTCAATTATGTTCATCAATCAGTGAACAAATACTTTGTCGGTTATTACACTATAAGCACAGGTTATATATAAGTATTTGCATGTTTTGTTCACTATAACGAACCACTAAGTAGCTATTACGAGTCAAAAAGTAATGAGGAGTGACCACCGTGTACCAGCCAGCCACTCCCGCCCTCCCTCCAGTCATCTGACTCAGTCCCTCATTCTCCTCCCACAATAATGTTTTTGCTATAATTCACTATATACAGACATTATATATAAATATCTACATGTTTTGTTCACCATAACTGTACATCTAAGCTTGTATGGTGAGTAAAGGCACAAAGATGTGGCTACTCGCACAGTCAGCTGATCGGCGGCCGCCCTCAAGGCCAGACGCACTAATATTTCTCCTCCAACAATACTGTGTGGTGTTATTACGCTATATACACACATTGTATATAAATATCTACCTGTTTTATTCACCATACTTGTACAAATAAACTGGTATGGTGCCCAAAGACCATCGTGGTAACCAGTAAACAACACCATCGTCTGCACAGTGGCGTCATGCAGACGACGCCACCGCCCTCACCAAAATGGCGGCTCCAAACCTCTTGCTGTTTATACCCTCTATACACACGTTATATATAAGTATCTACATTTGTGTTCACCATAGCGAACCACTAAGCTCGTATGCTGAGTGCAGTCAATAAAAGGTGGCCACACACAGTCAAAAGACATCGCCATCACCCTCCCTCCCACAACATTACTCCTCCCTCCATGGCACACAGCGCTAAATATCACCACAATCCTGCTATTATCAGAACCCTGGTCAGTTTTATCACAGTCAGGGGTCTTCTGTAATAATATCATCGCTACATAATAGCATGAACAAGTATAATTTGGCATTTTTAGGCGATGCTGTGGTCACAAGCTGAACAGCAGTGCTGTTAGCTCATGCTGCGTGCGTCAGGCTTGGTTGCTCACTCAATACTGAGGCCAATAACACCCGGGAGTTTGGCCCACGATTTTTTTTAAGAATGGCGTCTGTTTACAAGAGCCCTGATGAAGGTGTGGTGAACCCCGTGTATCCGCGGGCTGTTTAAATCTTGTGTAGTACTCCAGCACGTCATATGACGTGATGCGCACTTTAAGGGTTAAAAGTTTCAACACAAGACAGAACACGAAACAATGGATATAAATTGGATAAGTTTAGATTTAAGAAAGACTTGGGTAAATACTGGTTCAGTAACAGGGTTGTTGATTTATGGAACCAATTACCACGTAACATGGTGGAGGTGGGGTCCCTCGATTGTTTCAAACGTGGGTTGGACATGTATATGAGTGGGATTGGGTAGTTATTGGCTGATAAACGCGCATCAAAAAGACCAGACACGAAGAACGGAGAAGATCGAACCAGGCATGTACTGGACTGGACCGATCTGCTGAAAGAGGTGGAGCTGAGGGAAGACCCTCAGGTTCAGACACTTGAGTAAGCAGCGCCTGAACCCAGGACTGGGCCGGCCACCAAGAAGCTAACAGGACTACCCTTCCCTGGTAAGTCTCCAATCAAGCCAGGACTTGGAGCAACAACCGAACAAGTAGGAAGAGGTACATGTAACCCCACCTCGACCAGTCCAGTTAAAAGGCATCAAACCCGATGGCGTTGCAGTTGGGGTGGGCGCCATTTATACCGGAAGATGCCTCAACCAAGCTGATGTGAAGAGGTCCACATCCAGGCACCTGAACTTCCGGTAGAGCCAACAGAACGAGTCGCATCGACTATCCATTCCGTGGACAGGCCAATGAAATGGGACAGGCCGTTTGTTGGACACTCTCTGGGCATGAACTGCCAGGAGAGCCAAACCCCGAGAACTCAGCAGACGAGTCACTCAAAAGCAACCAGCCCCAAGGACCGCATCGAACCCCCGTGGTTTGGACAATGAACCACAGGGGAGCAGTCCAAATGAAGCTGGATAGTTGAAATTGAATGATGCACCAATGAAAATGTTTGGGGTATTTTTGTTGCTGCAGTTCAAAATTGGGTACAGTAATAATTAAAAAAAATTGAATCTCTACATTGTACTAAGATCAGTTCACCATATCTTATTATATTATAAATTCATACTAATAAAGAAATTGTGTCAAAGCATAACACTTACCTGCAAAGAATTACAGAAACCAATGATGTATGTCGCTGCTGCAATGGAGTTTGCCACTGTAAACATGAGTCCAATAGAACCACCAAATTCGGGTCCCAGAGACCGAGATATCATGTAGTACACTCCACCTGCCAAGGACATCAAAATTGATTATGGGAGGGTTTTAAGTATTCTTTAATTTCTCTTCCACAAAAGGGGACATATCTAAGAAAATTAAAAGTTGTGACATTTTAGTTAAATTTTCTTGGACAGAATAGAACTGCAAAGATTTCTTACTGACAGAAGTTTCTGCCCCTTAGGACAATATTTATTTAAAAAAAAACAGCGTTGAATGTAATGAAACACCATTTTCTGGGTGAGTCCTGGAGGCTCCCTGGAGCTTACCGGCTAATGAATGTTATATTAGACCAAGACATTAGATATGGAGTTCAGATCTAACAGGGACCAATGCCAGAACCTGGCCCTTTCAGAGAGATTTCAGGGAGCAATGGCCCTGGAAAGCCCCCTTTGTGGTTGGGGGTTTTTCTTATCTGCCATCGACCGGGGTTAGGCACCCAGAAAGGTAGGCGTAACCAAACAAACCCAACATGGTAAAAAACTAAAACAAAAAAGCAAACAGAGAGGTAGAAACACCCTCTAATCCCACGAAAACAAGCAAACAAGCAAACATCACACTTTACTGCCGCGCCGCTCATCCGTGCAACCCTTCACTCCCAAAGAGGGGGAGGGGGGGCCCCGGACCTCACTGAGTCGGCTGCCTAACACCAGTTTGGAAGCTAAGCTTCAACGCGAAAACCACCGACTAGTGGGAGGGAGGGTTGCCAGGGAGCCTCCAGAGCTCACCCAGAAAATGGCAATTCATTACATTCAATGCTGGTTTTCTGTAGGAAGAACCTACGGCTCCCTGGAGCTACATACCCAAAGAGAAGGAAAAGAAAGGGCTGACCCGGAAGGCGGCCGCCACAAACTCCGCAATGCAAAGTCGAGACAACAGGCAGAAACCTGCAACCCAAAGCAACACAAGAATGCAGAGGAGCAGACACGCTCACAAAATAATGGGCGGCCAGGAACCTGTGCGACGCCCAAATCCCCACTTAACACTATCGCATGCGCCACGTGAGCACTGCAGACTTTGAAATCATGGGGCTAATGGTACAGGCGAGCGTGCGGTGACGCCTAAATGTGTATACTCCTCTCGGTTTTCTCACCTTAATTCTCGTGCTACGTCGTTCGTTTTGGTATCATTGTGTTCGCAATTAAATTCCCTGCAGATGTATATGCATATAATGTCCAAAAGCCTGGTGAGACTCCCCCGCAGCAAAGCCTAAAATTACCCGTGAACGAGCACCAATTTGCACACCACAACCTAATGTGTATACTCGTTCAGTTTGATAACATCAATTTTCATGTTACATCGCTCGTTTTGGTATCAAATTGTTCGCAATATAAAGGCGCGCATTTTAAAACTAGTCTCATAATAATAGAGCAATAACTGGAATTTTAACAAATATTTTAATTTTGGACTCTCATCATCAAAATTATTTATATCTTTCCAGTGTTCTGACATCAATTTTCATGTTACATCACTTGTTTTGGTATCAAATTGTTTGCAATATAAAGGCGCGCATTTTAAAACTAGTCCCATAATAATAGCACAATAAATAGAATTTTAACAAATATTTTAAAATTTAAAATTTAGACCCAAAAACGTATTTATAATCTTTCAAGTGTTCTGACATCAAGTTTCGTGTTACATCTTTCATTTTGGTATAAAATTGTGCACATTCTAAAGGCGCTTATTCTGAAACTATCCCAAAGTCGATCGGATAAAAGATTAATTTTATACAAATATTTTTGTAGTGGATGCGAGTCCTGTCCACGGCTAGGACTCAAGAGAAAAAAATGGACATGATCAGTGTCCAAAGAGAGCAATAGTGTTAAGAAGATCAACCCAAAGCGCATCCCCAGCCACGGCACGCAGGTAACGGCAAAGAGCTACAACAGGACACAACACATGATGCACCCCGGCCAAACCAACCAAGCATCAATAATCCAAGGACCCCTCCGGAAAGCAGCCGACTTGGCCGTCACCAGAAGGACGGAGAAAGGCTGCAAATGTACAAACCTACTACCAGTATCAAAAGAGCAGAAACCCCTGCACCGGAGAAGAGCCAGAAGCTCCTCCTCCTGACCCACAGAGGCCAATGCCAACAAAATATGGCCTTTGAAAAACAATCTTGAACCAAAGGGGCTACCACAAACTGAGGAGAGGAAAAATACGAGAGCACCCTGATCAAGGACCAGGACAGCTTAGGCAACGCATGAGCAGGCTGGAGGTGGCGTGTGGAATGGGGGCGGATGTGACGTCCACCCCGAACGCAAGCCAGAGCGGCTCCACTAGCGCCACATAATACAAGGCGACAGTAAGAAGCATCAATTAACGGTCCTGAAAAACCAAGAAAAGACAAGACAACCCAATGCGAAAGAGAAGAAAACCTACGAAGAGCAAGAAAATGGCAAATAAAAATGCCTGGAAATGTCATACTGTCACCGAGATGAAGCTCGCAGGTGAGACACCATCAATGAAGCCACCTGATCACCATTGAGATGGAAATACACCCGCGTCAAAAGACCAGACGTAAAGAGCAGAGGAAAAGGCCGAACAAGCCAAATACAGGACCGGACCAATCTGCCGAAAGAGGCGAAGCAGCGGGAAACTCCCTGGGTTCGGACACTTATCAAGCAGTATCTGAAAACAAAGCTGGGGCAGTCACCAAGGAGCCACGAGGACTAATCTCCTTGGGAAGGACTCCAACCAAGCCAGAACCCGAAGAAACAGCTGGACCAGGAGAAGAGGAACAGATAACTCCACCTCGACCAGTCCTGCCGAAAGGCATCCACCACGAACGCCTCGCAGGCGGGTAAGGTCGCCACATAGAATGGGAGATGCTGAGAACACATCAAAGTGAAGATGTCCATGTCCACAAGTCTGTACGTCTGACAGAGCCAACGAGACGAGTCGACGACGACCAACCAATCCATGAACAGAGGAATGAACCGGGACAGGCCATCCGCCAGGACGTAGGACACACTCCAGACATGAAACGCACGGATAGCCAAACCCCAAGAATCCAGCAGACGAGCCACTCAAATGGACCAACCCAAAAGGTCATGGACCTAAGAGAACCCCCGTGGTTCCGGCAATGAACCACCGGAGAACAGTCCGAATGGAGCTGGATGGTAGAGCCTTGATTGACCCGAACCCTCCGAAGTGCAAACCAGACAGCCACGAACTCCCAAACCATGCTGTGAGCTCGACGGACGGACGGACCCCACCATCCCCGGCCGGCCTGGTGAGCACTGGTCACAAAGCCCCAGCCAAGAGACACATCGAAGACACGTCCGTGAACACATTGAACGAAGGCTTGGGGAGGTGCCAAGGCACGGAACCTGGAAAACCCCAAAGAGGAAGCCGGCGGTGCAGCACCAACACAAGATCCCTGGAGGATGAACCCAACAATCGCGAGAGAGGTGGAAGGGGAGTCCCCGAAGGAACCAAACAGACACTAAAGCCAAACCCGACCTGGCAGGCAGACCAGCATGGCGAAGTTCAGACTCCCGCACAACCGCTCAAGCAATCGCCAAGTGACCCGGGACCCACCCCCTCATAAACAGCCGAAGACGGGACCACAACCGCAGCAACACTTCTGGAGGGAAAGACAAAGAAGCGGTCCAAGAGTACTGTACAAAGATCCAGCCAGGTCCGAACCCGGGGCGGGCGGAACCAGATGGAACGGTCTCTAGATCACGAGGAACCCGAATCTGGCAATCTGGAAAGAACCATACCCCTGGCGAGCAGACAAGCGGACCGACTGGGAGCCCACACCAGCCAGTCGCCAGAAACCGAATCACAAGCAGATGCAGACAGGTCACCAAGATCCAGTAAAGATGGGTAAATACACTAAGTGCCAATTACAAACTAGGGAAGGCAACAAAAGCAGCAAGCCTGTAGCCCCACCACCAACTGTGCCAGTCCCAGAGCCCTGGAGAGGAACGTGCCAAGAAGGGACCCGGAGGTCCATGGACACCATCCAGGCACCCGGCCCCAACAGAAGCTGGACCAGAGACAACAGCTTCCAATGAGGGCAAAAAATCCAGGGCACAGACTTAACAAGTCCAGAAGAACCACAGATCTGCAAGGCCCGTGTCTGCACCTGAACAGGAGGGAACCCCAGAAGGATGGGGCGGATCGACAACGTCCAAACGCACCCACACCAAGATGACATGACGTACAGGGAAAGAAGCCCACTCCGCCAGCCCCGAACACCCCAAAGGGGGAGAAGCCGCCATACACCACCAGAAGCCGGAAGACAACCAAAACGCCCGCAAACTGTGGGACCAAGCGAGAGCCAACAGAGCAAGCTGCCCCCCCAGCACCCCATCAACAACAAAGGAAACGAAGTCCCTTCTGAAAGAAAATGTAGGCGAGGAGATTCTACCTGTTAGCTACTACAGCAACAAGGAACTACAACATGATCAAAAGGGAGCTACTCATCGTCCTGAACTTGCAGCACTTCGAACCATACCTGAAAAGTGCTCGGTCTACCACCATCTACTTGGACCACAATCCCCTATGCTTCCTGCAGCAAGCCTAATTCAACAATCGACGGCTTCTACGATGGGCTTGATATCTGCAGAATTTCAACCTGGAGATCTCTACATCAAGGGGTCTGACAACATCATAGCAGACGCCCTCTCCAGAGTCTATGAGGTAGAGGCTGCTCCCCCTACCACTCTACCTCCTGAAGACGTAACTTCACCCGGAACTGCAGGCTTCGGGGGAGAGTTGTGACGATAATCTCTTTCAAGAGAGATTGAGCCTGCTCTTCCCTACCTAAAGTTATGTCAATTCTACAAGTACAAGATGCTACATTCAAGATACGTCACCGGTAGCACAAAAGGTTTTGACCAGGAGGCAAAACGTACCCAAGAACCCCCCTACTCCACACACCCTCCACGCCGGCTCGTCGTCAACCAGCAAACTAAACTACCCATCCCAGTCTGCCTGCTCCTAATTGGTGACTCGCCGACCGCGCACCTGCACCCTGCACCTCAGCGCCATCTACCT